CGCTTGATCCAGGCCATGGTCTTTGTAATTACTTGCTATGCATCAGAGAGCTGGACAGCGACTAACAATGATAGAAGAAGAATTGATGCCTTTGAGTTTTACTGCTGGAGAAGAGTATTTGACATACCATGGACTGCCAAGAAAACAAACAAGTCTGTCTTGAAGAAGGTGAAACCAATTTTGTCCTTGGAGGCTAGAATTTTGAAAGAGCTCCATCTCCTATACTTTGGATACATGGCCAGGAGGGACCAGTCCTTCGAGAAGGACATCATGCTTAGAAGGGAGAAGGGTCAGCGCAGAAAAGGAAGACCCCCGATGAGATGGATTGATACAGTAACTAGTGCAATGGGGGTAGGTGTGTAGAAGTCAGTGAGACTGCCTCAGGACTGGGCAGACTTCAGAGCTGTTGTGCATAGGGTTGCTATAAGTCGCAGGCAACTTGATGGCCCATAACAACAGCATAATGCAGATGGCACAACCTGCTTGCAGGAAGTGCAAGAAGACTTGAAGCATTTATTGAAGAAAGTCAAAGACTACAATATTCAAAATAGACTACATTGCAACATCAAGAAAACAAAAATCCTCACCACTGGACCAGTGGATTATATCATGATAATGGAGAAAAGAATGAAGTTGTCAAAATTTTCGTTTTACTTAGATCTACCATCATTATCAATGGTAGCAGGAGTCAAAGAATCAACAGGTATATATGATTGGGCATTATTTATATGACAACAGTCCAGAATAAGAAATGTATAGTGAAATGGACTGAGGGAGGGGTAGAGTGGGGGCGGGGGTACAGGGGAAATTATGCAACAGTGAATGAATATGCTTTTTTTAAAAGTTAATTAGAGCTTAAGAAGGAAAATGTGCTACAATTAATAAATGGAAATCCAAGTTTCTATAAGTTTTCATTAAATATATATTAAACAATAATAAAAAGAAAATATGCAGCAATGAATGAAAATCCAACTTTTCTGTAAACTTTCATTAAAATCAATTAGAAAAGGGTGAGAAGGAAAAAGAAATCAAAAGGTGTGATGCTTTGGGGAAATCTGCTCTCAAGGACCTCTTTAAAATGCTGAAGAGCGAGCATGTCAAAGACTGAGGTGTGCCTAATGCAACACAGTCTTTTCAATTGCTTCCTATGCAACTGAAAGTTGGGCACTGAATAAAGAAGACAGAAGAAGCATCGATGCCTTTCAATTGTGGTGTTGCAATACCGAACATACAATGAACCACAAAGGAACTTGGGGTGTTTTTTTTTTTTTAGGAACTGCACTACAGTGCTCCTTGAAGTCAACTTCCTTTTATATACTTTATACAATGTCAAGAA